AAAAATAGCATATATATATATAACAGTATATAAATATTACTAAAACTTAAAATAACACTGAAACGATAAAAATAGCATATAAATAACAGTATATAAATATTACTAAAAATTTAAATAACACAAACTATAAAAATAGCATATAAATAACAGTATATAAATATTACTAAAAATGACTCCCGCGTCATACGTCTGCATCTCAGTGAAATCAGATTTTTCCAAATTTAAAGTCGAACTGTGTTGTGTTTTTGAGTTGAGCGTGGCAGCAGGAAGGTTGTGGTCATTGATTTCTCTCTCAAACTGAGGACAAACTGTTGTGACATCAGTGTTTCCCATAAGTCTCTGTGCTTTGCTGGGTCCATCGGTGCACTTAGAAACCCCACTAACATCCAGCACAAGTGGTCGTGCCGCGTGAGTGTTTCCTTTGCTTTGTGGGCGGGTGAGCTTGTTCAGCACTCCCTCTGTAGCCCGGGGAGAGTGACCCGGGTCATGTGACTTTATCCTAACCAATCAGGTTTCGAACATGACCTGCGTGGGGTTAAGCACCTGTCTGACGACAAGCATGGGGCGGCTGCAGGTGAGTCTGACTCCCAGCTAAAGATCATCTGTAAACAAGTTTTGAGTGTTTTTACAAACTGCGGGAGTTTAAGTCATTATCCGTCATAATCGACAGCATGTCAAAGATGCAGAACGCTAAATCATCCTTTAAGAGAGATTATCAATCATGCATTTTCAACAACGATATTGAGTTCAGTTCAAAGAGTGAGAGAATCAGACCTTAAAAATCCAAGGGGACATTTTACATTTAATTGTATTATTTTTTTAATTAAAATTATGAATTATATTATTTCTTAATTTATATTATTTTATTTTATTAATTAATATTAATATATGATTGTGTTTTATCTTAAAACATTATTAGTAGTACTAGTAGTAGTAGTTTTATTAATAATAATAATAATAATAATTACAATAAATTTAATTCATAATTAATTATAATATTATTAATTATTTAAAAATATTCATTTTAGTTTAAAAAGTCAGTGATTCTGTCACTTCATTCAACATTGAATCAGACCTTTAAAATGCAAGAGGACATTCTACATTTAATTTTATTAATGTTATAAAAATGTAAAAAAATATATATAAAAATATGAATGTTAGTATTTATTAATTTATAGATTTTATCATTGATTTTAATTTATTTCACTTTAAAGCATTATTATTATTATTAAATGTAATTAATAATTCATTATAATTTTATTAATTATTTTTAAATATTCATTTCCGTTTGAGTCACTTTTTCTGTCATTTCATTCAACATTGAATCAGATCTTAAAAATTCAAGTGGATATCCTACAATCTTTTGGTTAAAATGTTCACATTAATTTCTACATCAGCATCAGGTTGCAGTGGTTTAAACATCTACTGATATGTGTTATTGATCTGCATCAACTGATGCACTTTGGGGTGATTAGATATGAAGAAACATCCGCAGGATTGTTCTGTTTCTCATTCATTGTTAATGATCATTTAGCACGGTTTCCTGCAGTATCATGCAACATTATTTCAGAAATCATATTTATTTCAAGTGCTTCTGAACATTTTGTTTCTCATTCACAGCTCTTTGGTCTCATATTGATCAGATATATTTAAAGCTGCAGTGTTTATTTACTGCATCACTGGCGGCACCAAACAGAATTGTAAAAATAATGAGTCTTTTCGAATATTAAGCAGATTTTAATTCTGTTTGGTGTCCTTCTTGTGTGCTTTAATCACATTACGTTTAAGATGTTATTAATATATCACCCTTGGTCCACAGTGATCATATTTGAATGTTGTTTTTCTTGAGCTCTGAGGGGTGTGTGTGTGTGTGTGTGTCTCAGGGAAGGATGACGTGTTGGACATCGAGATCGATTCATACATCCACTGCATCAGTGCGTTTGTGAAGCTGGCTCCGAGCGAATACATTTTACTGACTGAGATCATCCCAGAACATCACCAGAAGAAGACCTTCGACTCGCTCATACAGGTCAGGGCCGTGTGTCTGTGTTCAGTGTGTGTGTGTGTGTGTTTAATCACAGTGTTTGTCGCTGCAGGAGGCGCTGGATAATCTGATGCTGGAGGGCGATAACATCATCTCCGCGGCGCGTCGAGCCATCATGAGACACGATTACTCCGCTGTGCTGACCATCTTCCCCATCCTGCGCCACCTCAAGCAGACCAAACCAGACTTTGACGCCACGCTACAGGTAGAGAGGAAATGAGAACGAGCATGAAATGTTCGCGCTGGACTTTCTGCTTTTTGGCACGGTGTGGTAGCCGATGATGTCATATCCTGTGTTGCGGTGCAGGGAACGGCTGCCAGCACCAAGAACAAGCTCCCAGCTCTCATCACCTCTATGGAGACCATCGGAGCTAAAGCGCTGGAGGAGTTTGCTGACAGCATTAAGGTAGATCACACACAACCGCTTCAGTGATCGAAAGACTGCAAGTTCAATCTGTGGTGACATCAGGTGCAGAATTGTATTATTTTATTAATTTAGATAATTTTATTATTATTTGATTTATTGTTTTATTTAATTTTAAATTATGTATTATTATTGTTATTATTAAAATAAATTATAAATATTATTAATAATTTAAACATAATTACTATTTAATTTACCTTAATATTAAAAATAATATAGCATTTATTATAATATAATATTAAATTTTTATTTTAAAGTATTATTATTATTATTATTACTGCTGTAGTTAAAATGGTCTGTGATGATCTGAAAGTAATATTGTAAGTTCTGTATGTTCACTTATATAATTTAAAAATCATTAATATTATTTAATGCATTATTTTAGTTAATTTTAAAGAATTAATATTATTATTTAAAATGATTACAATTAATTATACTATTATTAATTAAATCAGAAAGCAGTGTTCTGTATGTTCATTAATTTATATAGTTGTATTATTTCTTTTTTTATTTTCATCATTATTATTATTATTATTATTATTTTGTTCTGTACACATGTTCACAGCAGTGCATGTCACTCTGTAGCTCCTCCCACTGCTTCCTCGGCCCCGCCCACTCATCTCTGCTTCTGTCACATGATCTTGCTCTCTCATCCTGGCTGGCTATTAGTGGTGAAGCTCTTCACTAACAGAGCTATTTTAACTTCTTGCCCTCTGCCTCTTTCTCTTGTTCTCTTTCTCTCTCTCTGTTCTGCTTCGCTTCTGTCCTGTAGTACTCGGGGACACTTACAATATTCCTTTAGACCCCCGAGGTAAGCGCTCGAACGGACGAGTAGAGCAGGACCCACGGCTCCTCTGACTTTACAGTTAACATGAAACCAGAGCTGACTCCATTTACTGTCCTAAAGCATGTCGTCAGTGCATGTGGTACTGAAGAATAACATTTACAAACATGTTTCACTCTGAAATACTTCAAATT